CGCCCCGCCCCCCACCACGTTAAGGAAGAACTGACTAGTTGAGCTGTGTCCCAGAGGAGCCAGCAACAAGGCCACACCCACTCGGTGGGACAGAGGCCCTCACAGTCTGGCTGGGAAAATGAGGGCTAGTGGGTGACTGGTGCCCTTTCTAGTTTTTCTTTGGTCCAACAAGGGGCTTCTTTTCATCTTAATGCCTGTTGTTAAATGGTGATTTAGTCCGTTGACAACTGGTAGCCCACTTAATGACTTAAGTCATTCTGCAGCTGTGACCAAGAGCTTCTGTGGAGGCATCCGGGAAGGAGGCCAGGCCAAGGCTGTATGGTTTTAGGGGTAAGAGGGGCACTAAGGTTGGAATGACCAGAATAAGCCAGTTTACAGCCTCCTTGCCAACTTTCCACGTCACTCAGTATGCACCAACTAGGCCATTCTGTGCAAGCAGCCTGACAGAACTGGAAACCCATTTATTTTCTAGCATTCACTCAACAAACATTCACTGGATGTCTCTAATGTTCCAGACACTGTGCTGGGCGCTGGAAATATTAATACAATGGAGGGGGAAGGGGAAAAGCCCTCACTCAGCTTACAGTTCAGGGAGGGAGGCAGATAAGAAATAAGCAAGCACACACAGGTGAACAGACAATTACAAAGTATGATCAACACCTCCAAGGAAAGAACTAGTGTTATAGGAGAGCATGATAAGAAACCTGCTTTAGAGAGGAGGGGACACTTCACTGAGAGCTCTTCGTCGTCCCTGCCACAATGGGGCCTACTTGGACTCAGCTGCAAAGAGAAGGCAAGGAGGGAGGAAACGATGGCCACCTCACACCCCATCACAGGTCCACTCTCACCTTGGAGAAGGCCATCTTGGTCGCTGGGCGGATGGCTATGTGCTGTTCCCCTGGGAATTTCTTCAGCCAAACCCAGTCTCCCTGGAGCAGAGACAGGAGTAGGGAACTCGGTTTCTCAAAACCCCATGATGTGAGGAACCCTAGAGAGCCCCCGTGCTTCCCTTGGCTCCCTGCCCCAGAACCCATCTTCCATGTGACAAAGAGCTTCAGGAGCAAGGGGTATAACGTCTGCCAGCCCACTTCACAGCCAGCTGCATGAGAGCCCGCCCGTGGGAAAGAGAGACGCAGAGGCTGTCCTCACCACGCCAGATGCACTCACCAACAGCCCCATTAAGCGAGCTATCACCACCACAAGTGTCACTGAAATCAGAGCCCTCGTCATCACCCGCTGCACTGCACTAAAAGAGCACTGTGGTGGGCGTCAAGGAGTCTGGGTGGATCACGTGTTACTACAGACTAACGGTGAAGGATAGACAGCTCCCCTGCAGGCTCTGGGCCTCGCTGTCCTCAGCTGTCGGCAGGGCCAGTTCATGGGCGTGCGACCCACGCAGTCACCCAGGGCCCTGTGCTCAGAAGGGCCTGAGCTTGGTTCAGTGATCTGCTGCTGTCATCCTGAATGAACAAAGGGCATTTCATTTTTGTTTGGCCCTAGACCTTGCAAATTATGTAGTTGGCCTTGTCTGTTGATAAAGGATTGGACTAGGAGAGAATTCTGGGGGTTTGGTACTGACCCCTAAAGAGCATTTGGAAATAAATGTGGAGACATTTTTAATTGTCACAAAAACTGGGGGCTGTGATCAGTGGACAGAGTCAGAGACAAGTGGCACTAAACATTCTTCAAGGCATAGGGTCCTGCCCAAAACGACAATAGTGTTCTACTGGGAAATGGCTGCAATGGCCTCTAGGTGACATACTAGGAGTCTCTGCATTCTCTCCACGACATGACACCCAAGAGCTCTAAATCTCCACTCCCACTTCATTAGTGGAGCTCTCTCTCAGCGCTCTCTGAATCTGTTCTCATCATCTCCCACCCATCCCACCACATTCAGATCTGCTGACCCCGTGGTTAATGTCCTAATGCCCTTTCTTTTGTTTGTTTTTTGTTTTGTTTTGTTTTGTTTTGCTGTACGCGGGCCTCTCACCGCTGCGGCCTCTCCCGCTGCGGAGCACAGGCTCCAGACGCGCAGGCCCAGCGGCCACGGCTCACGGGCCCAGCCGCTCCGCGGCATGTGGGATCCTCCCGGACCGGGGCATGAACCTGTGTCCCATGCATCGGCAGGCGGACCCCCAACCACTGCGCCACCAGGGAAGCCCCCTAATGCCCTTTGGTGACTTTCCTTTTCCCCTCTAAGTCTTGCTGCTCCAGAGTGTGATCTGATTGGGGTAGAAGTGCTGGGCGGGGCCAAGACATGGGTCTGGCTTGAGTCAGGGATTAGCTCAGTCTGGAAGCCCCTTCCTGAGCAATCCAATCCTGGAAAAGTCCTCTTTGTGACCATGAGATCACTTCCCAGATGAGCCTCTGTCTCAGTCTTTCCAGGGAGGCCTGTGCCCTTCAGTAACCCAAAGGCTTGGAGCACTGAGGGGGAGGACCAGGGGCTCCCAACAGGGTGGGGGATGATCTCAGTGGCCTCTTCAGGCTACATGCTGGTCCCATCAAACTCCCCACCGTCAGGCCTCTAGTCTTTAGGCCACTGTGATTGGCCTTTGAAGAGCCCTCACCCGGATAATGGCTAAGGGAAAATCCCCTAGCAGGAAGGATCCCCAGATGCTCCCCTTTGAGGAGGAATCCATGAACTCTCCCTAGTTCCCATTCTGGGCTCCTATCCCCATTTCCTGGACTCTGCAAGATACGATATGACTCCAGGAACGGAGCTCGGCCTGCCTGGGGCTCAGGCTCACCTCATAGAGGCCAATGTTGGTGTAATCCGGGATCTGGCTGTGGATGCTGCGAACGTCGGACAAGCTGCAGGCGGCCAGACTCCATCGACTCCCCTGGGCCACCTGGAGGGTAGAGGTCAGTGCATGGGGTCAAAATATACTATGGGGTCAGAGTCCTGGGTTGAGGTCAGGCTGAGTTCTGGGGATTAAAGAGGGGAAGGGAAGAAATCTTAGTTCGGGAAGGTGATAATGACATTACTTCCCAAGTACACGA